CAGTCCATTAACACTGCACTGAGAGAGAGGGGTTAATACAGACACACTGGTCACTACAGTACATTAACACTGCACTGAGAGAGAGAGGGGTTAATACAGACACACCGGACATCAGTGTGCATTAGCTGACCTTCCTGTATTGGTCAGTGTTGTCCACACTGAGCTCTAGAATTTTCCTCTCCAGTCCCACCCTCTCCTCCTCACTCAGCAGAGCCAGTTGTCGCACTTGAGGCCACGACCAACGGAAGGCGCACTGTGGGCAGGTGAAGTCGCTGCTGCCCTGTGGGGATGGAGAAAGACGCCCAGAACCATCAGCACATTGGCTCCGGTGATTCTGTGCACTTTACTCTGGTTCCTGCAGCTGTTTCAGAAACAAAATCCAGTAAAAAGCAGTTGATCCAAGACTTTAATTTTCAGAATTATTTTATTACATTCCCAAACAAGGCAGCCAGGTCCACCACTCCAGGAGGCAGGAGGCAGGAGGCCCGTCCTGGTTTCTCACCTGGTTCAGGGTGGACTGGATCCGCTCCTTCAGTGCCTCCAGGCTGGAGATCTTTGCACAGCAGGGAAACTTCACTTGCACAGCTCCTGGGTCTGAGCATCAATAAACCTCATCATCATCATCATCATCATCATCATCGCTTCCAAAAACACTGTCACTGAATTCTGTCTCCCTCGCCAGCCCCCATCTTCCTCCTGTCTCTCTGAAAGACCTCAGTTTCTCCATCTCCAATATCTGTGTCCGGGCTGTGGTCATTGAGCCTGTCTTCTCTGGACAGCCAGGTCTGTCTACGTCCAGTCTCTGGTCACTGAGCCTGTCCTCTCTGGACAGCCAGGTCTGTGTGTGTCCAGTGTCTACGGCCAGGCTGTTTACCGACTTGTACTGTAGCTTGTCTGACCCCATTAACACGCAACAATACTGGGAGGCTGAAGTCACAACGTTTCACTAAAAAGTCGGCATTACCGGCTCTCTCGCTTCACACATTCTCCTAAATAAGACTAACAGCAAAAACGCAGTAATTTTAATATATTAGCGTCCTGATCGCTTCGCCCGGTCTCCCTCTCTCCCGAGCTCACCTGCTCCGTTTCTCAGTCCGTCATTCTGAGGCTGCTCCATCGTAACCAAAAACCTCAAGCAATCGCAGAAAGATTAATTTACAATATACATATTACTCTTAAAAAAAAAACATTAAATTCGTCAGCGGCCTGTCAGCTGCTGAATTCCCCGCCTGTTTTCTTGACTTCAACTTTCCTGTAGTTACATTTTCAGTTTCATTTGAGCTCACGGTGTGAGTGCTCGCTTGCTGCCCTCTGGCGGCCAGCTCTCTGCACTGCAGTACTGTTCCGTCTGGGCGGGCGAAGCGCGGCATGCGAAAGCAGGCTTTGCGGGCAGAAAAACATAAAGCCCACGTTCATAAAGTTTTAGTTAAACTGTTATTTTTTATTGTAATGAATGTAGTACTAGACTTTCTGTCTGAGCTTCCAAGTAGACTGTCCGTCTATGTCTGTCCAAGTATCTACTCTGTGCATCCTTCTGTCCAACCAAGTGTGCTGTCCACTGTCCGCAGCTGTCTGTCCACTCCATCCAAGAGATCTGTTTCCATCTGTCCATCCATGGGTCCTCTCCGTCCATCCAAGGGTATCAGTGGTGATTCAGCACAGGGCTGTTTAGCTCAGAGACCCGAAGCCCTGTCTTTCAGACTGAGGCCGGACCGGTGAGGAGGACGGACAAGGAGACACGTGGCCGCTCATGGACAGGAGCAGCGGCAGCAGTGGAGAGAGAAGAGAGAGAGGACAATGTCCCTCTGCCCACTGTGGCAGGGCTGTTGTTAAACACCGAGTGGAAAGATGACATCATGACGATGATGTCATTGAGAGGGAGTCCTCCTCTCCATCTCTCCCTGGAGGTGAGTGAACAGAGAGAGGAG